TAAGCATCCAATCACCCATGCCATACGGGTGGATGCCGCCGCTGACGGTCTTGTACTCGAATAGGACCTCGAGCTCATCGTCGAGGTCAATGATCTTGTGCGACGGAATCACGATCGAGGAGCCCGGAAAAAGAGCACGGAGTGCCGCCACTTGGTGCGGCGGCAAGGGTCAAAGCAGCTCTTCGTCGAACCCTTGGACACGAAGGCGGGGTGCAGAGGGAGGGTCCATCCGCTTGCTGCAATACGCATGCCTCGCGAGAGCAGACTTTGCGAGATCGAACATACGTTGCGACATGTGTGCCGTGGCGTGCCAATTTGCTGCTGATGAAATGTGCGGTCCTCAGCGTTCTACTTTGTAACAGATTGCTAGTCTCTACGTATGCGAAGTCTTTGTGTAATTATGAAGATAACGCGAAACACGTTCAAAAATAAAAACGGTCCAGCAAAGTGCAACCCTAGTGATGGTCGTTTGGATCCACCAGCACTCTTGGCACAATCCGGCAACAGTGGCTGATCGCAACACACGATGGCGTGCTGGATGTACTCTGCCGCGTGCTGGTCGGAAACCTCTTTTTGAGAGGAAGTGACACTGATGGTCAATGTACTCCCATCGGCAGTGAAGTGAATGCTTCATGGTAGTGGTTAGAATGTAAGAGACGCCGCATTCGTCTCAGGTATCTCCAACGATGGTCTCCAAGAAGTGATATGTCCATGTAATATATTCTCGCAGGCGTTGGTTTTTGGGTGGCGGAGCTTTGTGCTCACTTGGTCATTTGACGCCCCCTTTCCACCTGCCTTGCTCGCTTATGCGCTGCTAAGCTCGTGTTGTGTTCTCGCCTGGGTTGAGCCTTGTGCAGTGCTACTGCTAAGTCTCTTAGAATGTTGCGGAGGGTAAAATGCTGTCGAAGATTACATGCAGGCTGTGGGTGCACTGCGTGGCAGACCAGTCCTTGCACTTTTGAAAAATGCCACGCCACTTATAATGGCTAGCGGTAACTCTATTTCCCCACTCAAGCGTTGTGTACAAAATTATACAAGGCGAAATAACAATTAAAATGGGTGTTTCGCGCCTGCAAGGAGTCGAAACGGACTTTTCAAGAGAAGGCGGCTCAGCGAAACCAACGACTGGTCGGCAGAGCCTAGCATTCTAGTTTTCGCTCTCCGCTAAGCAACCCGCCACGCCTCACCCGAGGTGCAGCGGTAATGCAGGCCTCGCGCCCTTTTTCCCCCTGAGCGAAAAGCCACGTGAAACAATCAAACGCCGCTAGAGACCGTGGTCATCCCATCAGATACATTGGCGCATGGGATTAATTCACAAGCGAAGACACGGGCGCTTTGGCGATCGCGTAAGACTCGACTCGAGGCGCGCGGCGGCGTCGCGCATCTTGGCCACGAGCTCGTTCGTGTCGTTGAACAGAGTGTACTGGTCGCCCAACAACTCGGCCCAACAAACACCGCCCACGTGCTCGGGGTACCGTCGCAACGGCACACACATGGCGCGCGCCACCTTGTCGCTCACATACATCACCCGTCTCGAGCTCCGTGCAAAATCTGCGACCTCGTCGCAGTAGCGCGGACACCATCGGCATCGTTTGGACGATCGTTCGCGGGTGATCGTCGGCGCCGATAGCGCCGCCAGTCGCGCCGTCAGTTGCGGCAACCCAATCGCTGCGAGCGCCCGAGCAAAGTCGGAATGCCCAGCGTTCACCGCCTGGTCGTGGAAGGGCACGATAATGTCCATAATGACCGTGATGGGTGCTTCGTGCGCAGCTTCGAGGGCCTTGGCATACGCCAGCAGCGCCGCCAGACCCGGCGTGTGATCAAAATGGGCGCAGATCCAGACTGCGCCGGGCGCGTCCGACGTCAGTTTGCAAACGTCGTCCGTGTCGGCGAGTGGGGTCACGCGCGTGGCATCAAACCGGGCCGTGACGTGGGCCAGAAGC